CATTTACCCCAGGCTGGGCCATCATCAATCCCTCCCTTGGGTAATGCAACTGATAAAATGCAAACCTGAAGGGGGTTGGAGGTTTTTTTTATTATTTCTAGTAGGCAAAGCTAAAAGGAGATAGAACTGATGAAATTTTTATGCTGTTTGCTACAGAAGAGAAAGGGGAAAATAAGTGGTTTTGTGTGTTCTGACCTTGGCTAGAAGGGGTTTGGATATTTCCAAGACAGCAAAGTTCAAAAAGTTCCTGGGAGCTGTGCCCATGAGGACAACCCCTCCTCCAGGAAACTCTTCCTGTCCTCCAGGACACCAGTGGATTAAAAGGACTATTTTGTGATAGAAGATTAATTCTTACTGTTTATTTTCACAAGCAATTTTATGAACTTCCAAAGCTGTATTTTAGCTCTTCTCCCTACGAGAGCTCTGAACACTTGGAAGGTAGTGAAGACTGAAAATAATCATAATAAAATAAGTTTGACCTTGGATTAAAAATTTGCCAAGGTGACAGAGAAGTACATGAATCTATTACAACTCATACACAAGATGCAAAAGCTGCAGCTGGTCCTGAATTTTAAGAATCCAAGACCAAAGAAGCTTGCCAGTAATCATGGCCACAGCTCTGCTCTCTTCAGTACACTTTGATTTCAAAAAAAACCAAAGCAATCAAAGGTGTGCAAATTCAGGATCACTGAACACTCCTCCTGCAGGTATCCAGAATTTTTAGGCATCCAAGGATGCTTGAGAAACCTCCACTTGCAGGATTCAAAGCAAGGCACCAAGGATGAGAGGGAACTGGGGGGGAGGGTAAGGTCCTGCTTTGTCAGAAGAATATTTCTGGGTGTTTTTTGAGAGCACCTAATTTCTTTAGAGCAGTTGTGATTCCCGTTTGGCAGAGCTGCACCCCACTCAGTGGCTGTAGGAATAAAGAATAAAGTATGTGGGATCTTCATCTCTCAATAAAGAGAACAAAGCACTGAGACAGACAAGTTGGTGCCATCATTGTGGTGACAATGACAAAACAAAAAAAGCTCTTTTCTGAGCTGATTTTACAAGATAATAGAAAGCTTTCAAAACAAAGCATTGTAAGTGATCCTGAAATGCAAATACATGTGGTTTATAACCTCTCCAGCCCTACAAAGTAATTCTTGCTATTTAAAATATGGCTGTGCTTAATGTTGCATATTTTCAGATCATGAATTACGATTTGCTTTAAGTGGCTGCTGCCGTTTGCTCCCCTCTTGCTCCACCGAGGACAATTTTGGAATTTATTAACTTTTCATTCAGGGTCTGGTAGGAATATTTGTACAGCATTCCAAAGGGTGGTTGTTTAGCTCTGAAGAGACCTAACCCAGGCCCTGAAGGAATCGTTTTTAATGGGATTTTAGAGGTGACATTAACAACTGGCTTGGGGAAACGAAATGCAAAGATGACAAGGTGCTGGGATAAAATAAAATGTGCTTTCTTCAGCTTTGATTAATCTATTTTGTCTCCACGGTCCCTCCACAGCAGAAACTCTTCCCCACATACTCGTGTGCCTGAAGGGAAATTGTGACTGAGGAAAACCATCCTGCCCCAGAGCATTTGGGGAAAGCTTTCCTGACCCTTGGGCTGTGCACACCCATCACCCTCTGCTTTCTGCTCTGCTGCCACTACAAAGAGCACCTCAGGAGATTTGGGATCCTTCTCAAAGGGCACAAGGCTGGTCTTGAAGGCCAGGTGTGCCCAAATTCCTACTGAATTTCTGCTGGATTCAGGGTGGGAAGGAAGTCTGGAGCTCTCTACTCCAGCCTGCTCAAAGAAGGAAGAACTTGAAATTTGTACTCTTGGTAGCTCATGGCCAGAATTAGTTAAATTTTGAGCATCTTCAAGGTTCTCCCAGTATGTGTTGTAGTGTTTGGTCACTGCCATGGTGATGTCAAAATCCCCTCGTGCAATATTTACTGAGAATTTAAGTTCTCTTAATATGAAATAGGACTTGCTTCAGTATTTCTCTTCATTTTGAGCAACCTGTAGAAACATGAAGAAGGCTGCAAAGCAAGGAAAACATCAACCACTTTTATCATTAAGGCTCTTCTGAAAAGAAATAAAAAAAGAAATTAGGTAGAACAGACTACAATGGAAGGATTTAAATGAAAATCTTGCCTTGCTACTCTTCCCTTTCAGAAGAGTAAATTGATTCCTGGTTAGAATTCAGCCAATTCACCCATCACATTGATGCTCATTTTTTGGGGTTACTGAAAAAATGCTAAGAGACTTTACCTTGGAAATCAACACAGTCAGAAAAACTTCCCCATTCATGAAAGTATTTGAAGGGCATTTTAGAGAATGTATTAATTTTATAAGAAAACTGAGATTTGCGTGTTGCAAAAATATCTATATCTCTTAATTTTGAATATTCTGACTCTGTTTGCATTGGAACACCATTGAAAACAAAAAGATGAGAATAAATTCATGCTTCCTCTGACCATTTAGTTCTATATTTAGGAAGAAACCTCTTTTTTGGTACTTACATATTTTGCCTGCTTGCAAAACTATGTGAATGTTTTCCGTTTTGATAAATTTCAGGGATGAGTTTTATGACGACTTCTGAGTTTATAGCAGAATTTTAAAAGACATTTCTGGATGAACAGGTGTATTTATTATGAATGCTTCTCCTGTAGTTGCTCATCTACCCTCATCTTTAGCAGATTTGTCTGAAGTCACTGTAGGGAATATCTATTACAAAACTTCCTGTAACCTTAAAAACATTTATCATGGCAACAGCTCTTGAAGGCAGAAGGGAGTTTTTTCTCTGTTGGTTTCAAGAGAGTAATGAAGCTGGTGCTTAGTAGCCTACCAGGTGATTTTCTGGGATTGAGAAGTGAATTAAAAGTAGGATTCCCCTGTCCTGGGTTTACATCCTATGGCAAGAACATTTTCCTCTGTGTATTAGAAAGGAGAAGCCTCTGCCCTCTGGTGTGTCCATGTGTGCTGAGGATGAACGAGGATTGAAGGTTTGTGCTTTGGATCACAGTGCCATCAATCATATACAGCAGGAAATCAAAGTATCCTTTTTGTTGCTCATTAGAGGACTGGTGGGATATTTTGGTTGTTTTTTTGTAGGAGAATTCTTCCCTTCAATCTGCAAATTCACACTTGGGTGTCTGTGCATTAAGTAGCACATACATATTCATCCTCACATCCTGTCTGCATCTTCTGCTGTGCCATGTGTGTTCAACTTACATGGCAGCTATGCAGCACCTCCTTTTTCAGTTAAATAACAGTGAAATTCTCATTAGTGCAGATGTTATAAGGTTTTAAAATGTAAAAAAAGCAAGATGGAGCTGGTAATTGATTAATCTGAGGTGGTGCAAAGCTTCGCCCTCAAATACTCAGTGTTTTGTGATTTAAAGATGTATTGAGTTGTCTAGTGACTAAGGATAGAATGAAATCTGAAATTTCCTTTGGAGTTAATTGTCACTTACTCAGAAGTTTTTCCTTGAGAGAAGAATACTATTTGAAAATTAACTACAAATACACTAAATATGGTGTCTGTATAACTACTGCAGCTAATCTGACATAAATGTTTTAAATAAGCAAAACATCCAATGTTCTTTTGCTCATCAGTTCACCTACCAAGGAAATAAGTATCAAATTTGTAGCCTAGAAAGAGGTATTTTATATAAAAATGAACTGCATGGTAGATATGCATAAATGAAAAGAACAGTAAAGCATGTTTTTAGTAACCCACTCACAGTTTGGTAACATATGTTAGGGAGGGAATATGGGCATATGTTATGTCAGGCAAGTGGAGAGTTTTGGAGGGAAACCAAAATCCTTGAGGATAATGGTTCTAGTCCCTGTTCTGTGCTGAATTCCCAAAGGGAAGGATGGGAAGAGAACCAGAACCACTGCCTGGGGCCTCCTGTGGTGTCTCAGAGATTGGGCAAAAGGACAAGGAGACTGGATCAGCTGAAAACACCAATTCACTACTAGGCTGAAATGTTTACATCTGCTCAAAGGGATGGATTGTGGGGTTTTTTTTCCAATATTGGAGAATTGCCAAAAAAAAAAATAGAAATTTATCATGAATAGCAGGAGGTCTATTGGGTAATCTTTTACATAGGTGAAAACATCATAATAACACTGCTGGTGTTGAGCTAATTAAAAGCTGGTGTTTCTCTGATGGTCTTTTATAAATTCTGTTACATGTATTTCATGCAGATAAAACTTGTGTTCTCTGATTTTTTCATTTATGACCAGGAACACTTGACCAAGGCACTTCTGGACATGTACAGGAAAGAGATGCAGGATAAGACCTGAAAATTACAACAGGTGTGAAAATTATTCTAGAAATACCAGTAATACTTATATTGCAGGAATGGGAACAAACCCAGTCAAATAAGAATTGTGTTTTTATAAAAGCACATGAACACAGCACCCTTCTTTTCTTTTCAAAGAACACATTGTAGGTGCAATTTTGCAACTGGAAAAAGGCAAAGGGAGGATTCCCCGGTTACTTAATTCTGGCATCCATTATGTGTTTTGAAATTAGAGAATCACATCTTGCTTTTCTTCTCGCAGGAGCTCTGTGTCATTCCTGGCCTTGGCTGGACAGCACTCCCTAAAAGAGTTCATTCTTCATCTTCCCCTCTCTACCATGAGTGATGCTCCTGCCTTCAGTACATGTGGTTCAAAATAATCAATTTTCTTGTGGATTTAATTGTGAGTCTCATTAATACAGTGCTCTTTCTTTGAAATCTAAATATAGTTAATTTTTGCAACACCTCTTTGAGGTGAGCACAGGCTCCCTTAATTACCGGGCTTATTTTGATGAGAAACTGAAACACACAAAGAGGAATCTTCTAAATGCATCTCATCCTCATTTTAGGACTTGTAATAAAAAGGAGGTCAGAATAACCTGACCTTAAACTTTATAGAATCATAGAAACATTACAGGTGTAATCAGATCACCAAGCCACATCATCAACCCAGCACCATCACCAGGTTTTACCACTAAAATATGTCCTCAACTGCCACATCCACACGTTGTTTTCACACTTCCAGGGATGGTGACTCCACTACTGCTCGGGGCAGCCTGTTCCAATGCTTGACAACTCTTTCTGGGAAGAAATTTTCCCAAATATCAAATCTAAGCCTCCCCTGGCACAACTTCAGGGCATTTCCTCTCGTCCTGCCACTTGTTTCCTGGGAGCAGGGACCGAAACCCAGCTGTCTACAACCTTCTTGCAGGTGTTTGTAGAGGGTGAGTATGTCCTCCTTGAGCCTCCTTTTTTCCAGGCTGAGCCCCCCACAGCTGCTCCTGGTGCTCCAGACCCTTTCCCAGCTCTGTTGCCCTAAATCTCTTTCATGTAGTGAGGGGAAAAGACTGGGGCTGATATTAAATCCTACACGGATATCTTTATGTGGAAGATAGATTTCAGACAGCTGCAAAAACTGTTTTTGAGGTAGCATGATACAAGCCAGCTCCACTCGGGACTTTTCAGGGGAGCAAGGTGGGATCAGCTTCTTTTCCCAGGGAGAGATGAGAGGACAAGAGGAAATAACCTCAAACTGTGCCAGGAGATGTTCAGGTTGGGCATCACAAGGAATTTCTTCATGGAAAGCATGGTCAGGCATTGGAAGGGGATGCCCAGGAAGGTTTGGAGTCTCCCTCCCTGGAGGTGTCCAAGGAATGGCTGGACATGGCACTCAGTGCTCTGGGCTGGGGACAAGGTGGGGATTACTCACAGGTTGGACTTGATGGTCTTGGAGGGTTTTTCCAACCTCAATAATTCTGTGATTCTGTAAAGAAAGAACCAAGTTTGCACCTGCCTGCCATGCCCCATGATTTTGAGGATGCTCTTGGTCTGGCAGCTGGAATAAGTGGAATAAGATGTTTCTCCTTTCATTCCTCACGAGGTGCTGTGGGTGTGGAAGAACACTGAGCCTGAACCTTAAAAGAGGCAGGTGGAGGATGCCAGGTGGGGCCTGAGCAGATCAGAAAGGCTCAAAGAGTGGATGGCAGCAATCCCTGTGATGGATTCCTGACTCCCAGCCTGTGAACACAGATCTGAGTGGAGTCTGAGCTGGTCCCTCTCTGCCTCGGTGCACACTGACCTGTGCTGCTCCCACCCTGCCTCCAGCTGTGGGAATGAAACCCAGCCAAAGCAAATCACACACACACACAAATGGATCTGCCCGAGGTTGTACCCAGGGAAATTCAAATCCTACTCAACTCACCCAGGAGACACAGAACTCTGAAGCATGAACATTCAATATTATCTCTACCTTAATGCTCAGCAGAAAGGACACTGGACACTTTGAGGACAATGTAGGCATATTTTGTTCCATCTCCAAAGAACTTAGCTGATAGCTGAGGTTAATTTTAAAATGTGGATTGAAGTAGTTATTCAGTCTCTGATTCATTATTGATTAGGCAACGGTAGGCTTAAAGTGAAATGTGTTCTGGAAGTGTCACAAACAAAATGTAAAACAATTCTTAGAGTAGCATTTTCTTCTAATTCAATCTCGAATGGGGTGAAAGGTTTAAGTGGTGCCTTGAGTTTGTGTGGCAAGAATTTGGTAGAGAAGAGGCAGCAACTACACCAAGTGACCTTCTCAGCGTAGGGCAAGCTTTCCTCCCCTTGAATAGTTTGTCTGACTTTCCTGAATGTTAAAACATGAATTCCTGACTGGATATAGCATTCCAATCACAGAACAATGTTTCTCAAAGGTAATAGCAACTTTTTGGCGTTAATCAGTATTGGCTGTTAAAGTGTATCTTTATATCTGTGCTTTCTTCTGTACATATCCACCTTAATCACAAGGGAGGCCTAAAAACAGAAACCTGTGGGTAGCACAGGTTGTTTATCAGGCTCTTGCTGACAGACAGACCTGTTAATTATCTGATCCTGTAGAGGCTGCTGTATGAAGAACTGGCTTTCCATTTTCTCCCAGTGCAAAATGGGGCTGTCTTTAACACTGGTATTATCTTGCTCCTGAATTACACCTTGCTGAGCAGGAATTGCTGCTCCTTGATGTGGGATGTGGGCTGCACTGAGGAGAGACAGGAGGGGACACGGGATGAGGGCAGAGGCACTCATTGCTGGGACTCCTGCAGAGGTAAAGGTGGGCTCAGGGACTCTCTGGAGATGCTCCAGTGGTTGGACAGCTGGAGCAGGAAAGCAGGAAGGATTGGATTCAAGGCCAGGTTGGATGGGGCTTGGAGCAGCCTGGTCTTCCCTGCCTCTGGCAGGGGTTGGAATGAGATGAGCTTTGAGGTCCTTTTGAGTGCAAACCATTCTAGGATTCTGTGATTCCTCTGCTGAGGTCTGGTGAGGGTGAAGAGATGGTTTTTGAAGCTGGAAGTTAAGGGATTTGTGGGGGTGTATGCTGGGCTTTGCACCACTTATTAGTGGTTTGTTATTAGTTTTGTCTGTTTTTCCTCAGAGCCAGGACTAATAGAAACACAATTGAGATGATTCTCCTGTTCAGGCTTGGATGTTTATTATATCTTATCAGAAATTACAGAAAGTACAACAGCACCTCTAGCTCCTTGATAGAAGTGGGAAAAATGGCCACAGCTGAGCCTGCTTCAAGGCCTTTTAAAGCTAAACAAACCAATAAAAGTTTAACACCTACATTATTTATCCTTTTGACTCAATAATAGATTCCCACGACCCTTAGAGTGACATTTGACTGACCAACCAAAGGCTACTACCTGAGTTTTGTGAAGAAGATGAAAAAAGAAGAAAATGAACAAAGAAAAAGACACTACCCAAAATTTCTCATCTTGTCCTAGATCCACCATTATACTATAAAAACCTCAAATTTAAAACCCATCACCCAGTGAAAACACACACATCTAACCCACTACATATTTGTGATTTTAACTCATTATTCATATTTACAAGCCTTCTCCAAGGTTTTAGGTCCAAAGCAGAGTTTTCTAAGATGTCTGTACCTAAAACCACTAAAATCTCGAAAACTCCACATTTCTAAAATCCAACAGGGCGTGCCAGCCTGTGCCTGTCCTGCATTGTCACACCTGCCCTGGGGGTGTGTTGTCCACTGAACATCCAGCTGGCTTGTTCCAGACTTAAGCCAAAGATTACATCAACACCTAAACACTGCAAAGGATTAGAGGGCTCAGCCTCAGCTCTGTGAATTCAAACCCTCACCTGGCAGTGAAGGTGTAACTTCATCTTTATTGGTGTGCTAATGGACACCCTTACCCACAGGAGCTTCCCCATTTGTTTTTGGAGATCCAGAGGCACCACAGGCAGAGCAGCCAGCAGCTTTCTCAAAGATACAGAAGTTCGACCCAAACCCAAATAAATACCTCGGGAGCTCAGCAAAGGAAAGCAAAACCTCCACAGCTGGAGTGACAGTGGTGTCCAGGCTACACAATTCCTTGCAGGATCAGGAATGCTCCTGAGGTAACCTTAAACCCACTGAGAGGTGAGATGGGAATTGTGTGCAGCTTCCAAGAGAGGAATGATAAAAATCCATCAGCAAAGTGCCTTTCTCAGATGGTTCTGCCAACTTAGAGCTCAGAGGTCTGGAGGACACCCTGGAGCCCAGGTTCCTCCTTTACAAGGGGCCACCCTGCTGCTGAGCCTGGGATCATGTTCTTCCACCAGCAAAACAAACAGACAATTTGTTTGTACAAACCTTGTACAGTCATCCAAGTTTCCCCATTTAATAGAAGAGTTTACTGGGAAAAAGCTATTTCTTACTTTTAGAAACCTTAATTCAGGGTCAGTGAGGAAACTCTTACCTAAACACAGTTTTAAGAGCACATCTGCCATGTTATATTTGTGTCTCTGTTCCTATAATTAAAAAAAAAAAGGGATAATGAGCCACTAAACAAATTATTCTTGATGCTGACTGAAACAATTAACAATTATTATTTATAACATAAATAGTCTAGAGTGAATTATGTTTAGTTTTCTCTTTAGCCCTGTCTCCAACATTTGCATTTCACTGCTCTACTGGTATGTTTTGGCGCCTACTTTATTTTTGTCAGCAAAATCAGTTATTTCTGACATTATTTCAGTGCCTTCAGGGCAGAATGCTGGAACTGAACAACTGGTTCCCTCCACGACATTTTCCAATCCCATATCAAGTTTCTTTGTTGTTATCCAGAGAAGTTATGGAAGCAGGGCCAGTGGAAGGAACGCACTGGTAGGGTTCACTTTGAGCTGAAAGCTATTTCATGCTGTGTATCCACAATTACCTCCATATTTATAGATTTCTGCGTGTCCAAAAATGGAAATTTAAATGTGTACTCTTGCTTCTTTCAAGAGTGAATAGTTTTTATATTAACCAGGGATGCCATGACCAAGTTTCTTTCCAGCAGTCCCTAAACAAAGGAAAATCACCTCTCCAGCCACTGCCCTGGGTCTGCACCACAGACCTTTCTTCACTGCCTGCAGGCCTTCAAGGTTTGTTTCTGGTGGAGAAAATCAATTAATCTCTGTAGTCATTTGCA